TGACTATCTGCAAAGTCACCTAAGCATCGGTTGGATGACACCGAGGGGCTACCAGCGAACTGGCTGTCCGGAGCTTCGCCACTAGGTGAAACATGAAACTGTGGAAAAACGCCTGCGCCATCTGATCTCTCTCCGGCGCCATACCCCATAAGACCTATAGGCGGTTTCCACACAGAACCGTGTCCACGCACCCAGGGTCCACATTCAGGGCTGTCAGGAGGGCGATTTTCGCGCACTCCCGTACTGCACCTGGCCCGGTCCTGTCCAAGGACAGTGTCCCGGCCGTGGGCAGTCTTCCCCTGGTTTAAACTAAGGCCACAGGGGGCTCCTCGCACCTCTTCATAGCTTCTTTGTGGCTCTCCTCCCAAACCTAGGAGGGGGCCCTCATATGTGTCTTCAGCCTCAGCTCCCAAATCTAGGAGCTCTTCTTTCCTTCCTCTTTTTCGCTCCTCTTGCCTTTCCCTTTGTCGCGCCCTTTTGTCTCGCCCTTTTGCCCGTATCGCCACGGGGCCCCTGCCCCTGAACTCTCGCTCTTTCCCTTTTCTTTTCCTTTTGCTAACGCTCTCGTCTTCTGCTCCTCCTTGTCTTCCTTGGCCGCGGCCTGTGTTTCTGCGCGGCTTGTCAGTTGTCCCCGTTCTGGCGGGACCACTTCGACCCTCTGACTGACTTGCCAACTCCCTCCATTGGCTGTCAGCTGCAAACTCTTCAGCCTCTGCGCCAAGCAGTCGACCGTGTTGGCAACTTTCCCCTGAAGCGCCAGGTCTAAGCTCCAGCACAAGGTCAGAGCTTCTCGGCTGGCCCCCCCTGAAAGGAGGGGGGCCAGATGGTTGCGGTAATATTGCAGCGCCACCGCAGGCACCTCCCCTTTCTCCTGGTCCCAAACTGTGCCTGCTGCCGTCAGGAGTTGACTCTGCATCTCCCTGATAGTGCTCTCCGCTAGAACTCCTGGAGCTCGGCGGGCCACCACCCGCACTTTGTGGGTGTCCCCGAAGATCCCCTCGTCCTCGGAGCTGCCCTGGTCGCTGCTCTCCCCGCTCCCATCGATGGAGCTTGAATCGCCGCTGGTGCTCTCCTCCTTCTTCCTCTTCAACTTCTTCTTCAATGCTTTCACCAGTTTCCTCCTCACTTTGTAATTGGGGTCCAGGCCAGTTGACCCGAAGACATCCTTCAGCTCCTTTCGTGAGTTGACCCTCTTTCTGCTCGATCTCACCTTCTTTCGGCTGGATCCTCCGGTGCTTGAGGATCTTTTCTTCTTCTCCTTTTTCTTTTTCTTTGTTTTCTTGTCGTCTCTTTTCTGGTCTGCTCTCTCTTTCCCCTTCGCTTCCTTCTCTTGCAATGCCATTGCTTCTCTCCTCAGCTCTGCATTCTCGTCTCTTCCTTCTCGCAGGTTCTCTGACCAGCCTCCCTCGTCGCTCCTCTGTTTCTGTCGGATTTTTGTGGCGTGTACTAGACCTTCTGCGTCCACCTTGTTGGGGCAAGTTGAGCCGCACAGATGGACCCGCACTGGCACCGTGGGGTGCCCGGTGATCCACTTCAGGAGGGACTCGCTTTCCGTCCCCTCCCCTGTCAGTTGCAACTCTACATCGCCCACGTGGCGCACTTGGAGGCCCTGCACTGTGCCGCAAAGACGACATCCTTCTTGTCGGTACTCCCCAACGACGACGACAGGAGTACCTTGCACCAATCTTCCCAAAGGAGCCAAATTGGCTTCCACCTCTTCTCCGTTCACAAACTTTTCTTCTGCTTCGCCCTTCTGACTCTGCTCACCTGCGCCTCGACTCGCCGGTCTACGCAGAGCTGCTCCCACCCTAGGAGCCCGTCTACCAGCTGGCCCTGCCGCCGCTGGCCTCCTCAATGCCATTAACCTTGAGCTCGGTCCTCTCGCCAAGCCCGCTGCCTCTCTCGCTTCTTTCTGCCGTTGTTGAGCGCCCTCTTACGCTGGGGATCGGCCCTGGGCTCCGCTTCTCCGATCGGACGCCTCACCGTCAAGATAGGACCCTCCCACCTTCTAGGAGGATGCTCTGGTTCTCGGGGTCTGCCTCTGCCCCTGTCTCTATCTTCCAGTCTCGGACTCCTTGCCCTGCTGACGGGCCTCTTGTCAATGAAAGCTTCTCTGCTTCCACGTGCAGACTCTTCTCCTGACCTATCTTTGCTTCTCGGACGTGCTTTCCTTTCTTTTCTTCCTGGGCTTTCTCCTCTCTCTGTCTTACTATCTCGGGCTTTACTCCTCTTTCCCTCAGCTTTCTCCTTCTTCTTTTCTTTCTTGGGCTTTTGAAGCGATCTGGATCTCTCAGCCTCCTCTCTAGCTCCCCGGGCGCTCGAGGAAGGTGCCTCAGCAACCTCGGCTGGGGCGCTTGGTGCGCTCGCCGCCGCCTCCCTCTTCCCCGCAATGCCCTCCGTACGAGGAGGAGGTGGGGGAGGCACTGGTAACCCTCCCGTAGTAGGAGGGCCCACAGGAGCACAAAGCCTGTCCCTGGCCCGCTGTTGAGCTTGCTCTTCTTGGAGCAGGGAAGTCCACTGCCTGGCCTGGCTGACCCCCCAGGATCGCAGTACAGGCTGAAGTGCTCTGAACTCCCCCACCAGCCGGGAGACACACCGGCACAAAGCGCAGACTCCGTCCACTCCAGGAAAGGGGCAGTTGCACAATCTGCAACCACTCATGAGCTGAAGCCGAAACTACCGAAAAAAAGGGGATGATCAACCTATTCGTCTTTACATCCGGGGTCGTTCATTCATATATATGGACATGTATATTATTTATATATATATAAACTGTAATAGACCTGGACCGTAAAGATAGTCGACACAATGAGGATCGTTAATTTCGACTTGCTTCACATTGGGTACTTTGGGGTCAAGTCTGCACCGCCAGGGAGACTAAACAGGACGCTTTACCCATGTCCTCGCACACCTTTTCCATGAAGAGACATGGTTGGACCAGGACAGACATTTGGGGTTCGTTTTTGATACTGCTAAACCATGCCTGACATATCTCTGCAACACTCTGCAACCACAAGGCGCGCCTTTCCAAGCTGTGTCTTTCTACTTTCTACGAATGATCCATCTTAGTTAAAGATCATCAAACCCATCAGATAATCACCAGGAGAAATTTGGGCCCCAAATCCTCTGGATCTGTCCGGCACCCCAAAATTGGTAGCTTTTATGATACCCTCTGGTTATGAGTGACTAACAGTTTGCCATGGTATAGATGGCCCATAGAAATAGATGGTTTAGCTATTAAATATGGTGATTTTCCATGGCGAACTGTTAAAAAACCAGATGGTAACATATGATAGATTGAAATAGATTCTCTGTTGATTTGGGGGCATAACTACCAGAATATACATAACTAATACAACTACAATATTCTTTTCTTGACAAACCCATACGTAACTACGATATTATAATGTCACTCCATATTTCTTAGTTGACAACTCACGGGTTTTTTGGCAAACCCAAAAGTCAGATTCAGAAAAGTCCAAGACCCAATCCTCATCCTCAAATAGGTGGCTAGTAGTATGGCTAATAGTTTTCTTAAGTGCTTTCTTTTTAAAGACAACAGCTATTCAGTTGGATCAAATCAGCCCAGCCCTTAGAGTATGACCGGCATCTCTAAATCCTCAGCGATCCTGGCACCCCGAGGTGAAGAGCTGGGAATCTGTCACAGAATGCCAGGTGAAATGCTTGGAAAAAAAACATTTTGTAAGATTATTTATATACATATGTTGTCATATGTTTAATTGATTTTAACTGTTTAAGACTCATGTCAAGTATGTCTCCAAGATCCAAGATCAGAATCTCCATCCAGAAGCAAAAGAGCTGCGTGTAGCTTTCAGAAAATATCAACAGCAAGTGAGGAGATAATCAAATAATGTTCAACACTCAAACATGATGCTGAACGTCCATCAACATATATTAAGTGTCCCGGCCAGTAGTATGGGTTCCAAAAAGAATGACTAGAAACTTCCTATCTTGTTGTCTTTTCTGATATTTATTTTGGCGATCCTTGTTCACCATCAAATCATTGATGAGGCGAGGGAGTTTAACATCAGTAGCTGAGTGTTTTCCGTGACAGGAATCTGTGCTTTCTGATGATTTCCGCTGCGTTTGTCTTTTCTCATCTGAGAAAATTTGGCAACGCTCAACCAACCCTGCAAACTACCGTCACACAGCATCCCAAAGTCGGTCGTGTATACAGCCATCAATTATTGATAGTTATTGTGTGCTTATGTGTGGTGTGAAAATATATGTTAAAAACAAATTTTGCAAGTTGTATCACTTTTCAAGTTGCCTCCTCGCGAAATTCCCAAGTTGTATGTTCCAATTGGGTTTGTCTGACAATGGCGTTCCCAAATTAGGGTGCCCTTGCCCATATGTTTCCCATGAAATCATCATTTGAGGGAGGTATACCCCAATTTCAAGCAGAACCAATTCATTCTTGGTTCCCAGATGTTCTCAGCGCCAAAAGTCTAACTTCTGGTTGTCCATAAATTACCATTCTCATCGATCTCCCAAAACATCTATCATCTCTGCGCCGATGTTTCCCAGCTCCCATCCGAAAAAATGGCCGACCTTCGAATCCGGGAGTTGTGAAGCCTGCGTGGCGCGACCCCGGCACAGTGCGTAGGGGGCTGCTGGATTTCCCCTTAAGAAATTCATGCCATATACTAGGTGCACCCAGTTATATATGGGTTATTGCACTTATTAACCACTTAATCACTTACCACTTACCATAGGATCATAAGTTGTCAAACCCTGATTTGCGCAAGTGTTTGAATTGCTTTCATGCTGCATTGACCCTTTGCATGGGTTTGCAAAGCACATCAACATCCGGCCTTGTTTGAAAATAAGGACATCACCCCCAAAGTTAGATGGCTTACCTCGTTTTCTCCATTCTCATCCATTTTCACAAATTGAGGGCACATCTCCCATGCACCAAACCCATCTCGACTCATTTTTTCGCCATTTCCGCCATTTCCACATCAGTGAAGGCTGCCCCGTCAGTAGGCGCGGCGCTTGTTGTTCCTTCGTGCCTCCTCGCGCCGTTCTTGTTTTTTGGCCCACGACCGCACTCCGGCCCTGGCACGGGCACCCTGAAATGATGAAACGATGACCCAAGTCCGGACAAGATGACACAGGACTATAACAAAAAACAAAAAAAGGAAAGTTGTGATATACCCAGCAACAATTGGTTTTAATGAAGGTTTACCCTCTGGTAATTTAACATAGCTATTGAAAATGGCACATTTAGTTCGTTGATTTACCTATTAAAGATGGTGATTTTCCAGAGCTATGTTAATTTACCAGAGGATAACAAAAAACAGGTGAAAGTCGTGATGAACTGCAATGACTTGAATACGTCCGAAAATGAGACAAATATCGAAACATTGCTTCAAACGGGGGCTCCCAAGATTTTCTTTCCTAGATGACCATTCCACCAGGGTTTCCTTTGGGGATCTTTGGGGATTGGTGAATCCAGAAATCGTTGGCTAGGGATCCTCCGGTCCCGCCTGTTGTAGACAAAGCCTCGCTGCTGGACCCCCACTTCCCCAGTTCCTGTATTCTTCACCAGGGCATCGTAACTGCCAATACCTCGGTCCCCACAGCTTAAAATGATTTTTGCGCGGGCCATCATGGACGGCCCAGGGGTGTCGTCACATCCGCGGGAGACGATCAATGGTGGATTTTCGATAAACAAAAATGTTACTTTGCTGGAGGATACATTGCTACATGTGGATCAAGCAAGACATCGCAACAAAACCCTGCCGCCATCCAGCTGGTGGCTTGAAGGAGCAACGCTTTGATATTTGTGATCTGCAAAGCAATATTCTGGCTTTGTGCAAAATGAATCAATGCCATAATACGGCACCCCAAAATGACAAGTTTTATGATTAGTATGATATAGATATAAACTATAAACCATGGAAATTCATGGAATGCCAAATTCTAAGACAATCCCTTCTTGTTGATGTTACAGTCTGGATATTTCCATGTGTTCAGTGTACCATTTTTTCGCGGTGAAAACGCATCCAAAATCAAGTATATAACACCCTGAAAACCGCGCATCCCAACAGAAATCTAATCTTCTAAGCCCCTTTCTGCCGATCAGAGGAAGTGGTCAATGACCATAGCCATGAGTGCCACCTTCCCACACCAGGTTGCGAGGACGGTAATCGTCAATGACGTTGCTCACAGCTGATCCAACATCCTCAGAATGTGGTGCACCAACCCTGCTGATTCCGGGAACTCATGGTAAATTCTCGCGGCTTGGGTTGAATGCGCACTGCTTCGCAGCAAGGCGCCCTTTTGGGTACCCCCCAATTTCGCACTGTTGACCATCAATTTTGCTCGCAACATTGCCATGAACTGGGCGTCTCTGAGTATCAATCCTTATTCTATCAATATTATATTGCCATCATATCCCATGGTATTGCCACTGTATCCCCCTTTTTTTGGGACACGGCCACAAAGACATACAAAAACAGGGCTGGACGTAGGGATCCATGGCATCCCATCACGATTGTTAAACTCTCTGGTGTATGCAAACAACATGTTAATATGGATGTTTATGGTTGTTTCACTACTCTATAGAGACACCTTACAACTGGGTCATTCAACATCACCGAAAAAAAACAAAACAAAAAAAACATTCCGCCAAGGACGTCTCACTTCAAAAATCCATAAAAAAAAACGCGCATTCCAAGTCTCCGAGATGCGGTCCCCGAGCGTCTTCTTCTTTTCACCGAACAACCCCCGAGTGTCTGGGCCAAGTTTACACTCTTTGGTGCGGGCATACTTCGCGCCAAAACCTCGGAGAAAACAGCCCCCGTGAGCCACAGCCATCAAAATCAAAAAACGATTTCCCCAGTTTGATAAGTGGATTCACCAATGGCAAACAAATGAAAAGAACAAACAACACATGCAAAAAAAAACATACCTGGAGCAAGTAGATATTATAACAAAAACCATGGGAAAATAATTGAAAATATGAATCTCCAGCTCCAAGAGACCAGTAAACTTATCAATCGATCGCTTGGTGAAGTGGTACCACTTGGATGGTTGTGGGCAAATGTCGTCCGCATACTTGTCCATCTTGGTCACTGCGGCTTCGGCCTAAGGATCGAGAACTGCGGACTTGGTGGCATCCCACTAAGTCAATGCAGCTATGGCCCAATGAACGGTTGTAAGCGGATGTTTTTTTCCCAATGTAGTTATAAGAATTATAACCCCCAAACTAGCTATAGTATGTTCGAAGGAAGTTTAGAAGTCAAACTTCCGACAATGTGGGCAGATGAAAAGCAAGAGTCAGAGAAGAGAAGAAGAAAGAAGATCAAAAAGAGAAAGTCTCAGTAGAAAGAAGATGCAGGTGCGCGAAAAGTTAGGAAAGTCGCGAAACGCTGTGTTGTTCCAATGATTTGTGGCTCCGGAGGGTCGCAAAAGCGGCGGGTGCGGAGCCAGCTGGACAGATGAGAGGTGAAAAGTATTGAACAATTGCACACCGTTGCGGCGCGAAGCACATTTCTAAGTCAAAACGAACAAAGCACACAATGTTGGGGCCTTTTTTGGAAGTTGTGATGATGGCGAAAAGTGCACGCCGTTGTGGCGCGAAGCACATTTCGAAGTCAAAATGTACAAAGCACCCCAGCTTTGAAAGGAGCACTTTTAGAAGTTGCGATGTCGAAAAAGTGCACGCCGTTGTGGCGCGAAGCACATGTCGAAGTCAAAATGTACAAAACACATCAGCTGCGGAACACTTTTAGAAGTTGCGATGTCGAAACAGTGCACGCCGTTGTGGCGCGAAGCACATTTCGAAGTCAAAAGTGTAAAAAACTGACGGGTTCGGAGCACTTTTGGACGTTCAGATGTCGTTTTGCGTGGTAGGCGCAAGGGATTATGCATCTTGTCAAAAGTGAGAAAAACGTCTGGGTTTTGTAGCAGTTTCAACTACAACCACGACTACACTCCACTACGCTACAACTGCAACGACAACTACACTACATTACACTAAACTACACTACACTAATTACATTACACTACACTACACTCCACTCCACTACACCTACACATACAACTACAACACCAACCACAACGACAACAACAACTACACCAACTACAACTACATCTATAACGATACTACATTACAATACACTACGCTACACTAACTACACTTCACTACACTACACTCCACTCCACTACACTCAGTTACACTACCCTACACTACACTTCAACTACAGCTTCACTACAACTACACTACATTACACTACACTACACGAATTACAGTACGCTACGCCAATTATATTACACTACACTACACTTCATTATGCTACACTACACTGCGCTTCACTACACTACACAACACTACAATACACTACGCCACACTAACTACAACTGCAACTGCAACTACAACTACAACTACAACTGCAACTACAACTACAACTACACTACACTAGTTACATTCTACACTACACTAATTACATTACACTACACCCCACTACACTTCACTACACTCCACCACATTCAATTACACTACCCTACACTACACTACAACTACAGCTACAACCACAACTACAACTACAACTACAGCTACAACTGCACTACATTACACTATACTACGCTACACTACACTAATTACATTACACTACACTACACTGCACTACACTACACTTCACTTCACTACACTCAATTACACTACACTACAGTACACTATACTAGAGTACACCACACCGCAGCAAACCACACTACACTAACTACAACTTCAGCTACAGCTACCACTACGCTACTTTAGACTACATTAGACTACACTACACTACCCTACACTACATTACACTACACTCGTTACACCACCACAACTACAACTCCACGAGACTACAGCTGCACTACGCCACACTACATCCAGCAGTTGTGGGTGAGGTGACCGACCTGGTGACCAATGCAACCATTGTAACCGCTTCAAAAAACACAACTCCAACCACCTTTCGGTCCATCAGTGGCTTCGTTCTGCCATCCGTGATTCACAACAACCAACCTCTCCTATAGGTTTCTTATTTTTGAAACTTCCGCCACCGCCTTGTGCGGTACTACTGGTATAGTTATAACTACCAACTAGCTAGTTGCTATTAGTTCTAGTAGTTCTTTCATCCCATTTAGAACTGTTTGTTGAGGGCCATATCTGTGGCTTATACCACCAATATCCCCTAATTTTGTATGAAATATCCCCACTGATATATATATATATATATATATATTTATAGATTCTATGGCTTATAATATGGATTAGAAACCATGGATCCGATTCGTGGGACATCCAAGGCCCGGAAACAGATCCAGAAACATCATGGAAAGAACGGCACTTCGCGCCGGGTGTCCAGTTGAATCATTTGAAACTACAGTAACACCAGCAGGTTCAAAGCAATTTCCGGATTCAACGGGTGTAGCTTTGAACGTGATTTTCCCAACTTCAGTGCCATTTTGGGACCAACTCCGCTAATCAATCTAATCTGGCTCTTGGTTCAATTTCCATGCTCAATTGGAAACATGAGGAAACTACCCAGAATTAAATAGTAATATATATATATATATTTATAATATTTATATTACCGAAAAGTAAAATATAATAATGATACTATAAATTTATGATTAATAATTATATATATACTATTATATATTATATATCAAATAAAATAGATTATATATAATAATGTGTATTATATTTTATATGTATACGTATGTAAAAAAAACAATATAATATAATATAATTTAATACAATGTAAAATATATACTGTAATATATTGAAAAATAAAGCAATGTAAACATAAATAACATGTAACATAACATAATATGATATAGCAAAAAAACTAACGTAATATAAAATAATATCAATATCATATAATATATGTAATACAAAATCAAAGACCAGAAAAGACTATCATATAGTAAAACAACATGACATATAATATAAAAAATAAATTGAACTATAATAAATAACAATATAACATACTAGACAAATATAATATAATATATTTTAACAGAATTTAATTTAATATAAATATATATATGTATACTAGTGGTAAAAATAATGATGTATATGTTTGAACAACAGAATATATACATCTATTGTATATGTAAATAAAGGTCAAATTTTAATGTATATTATATATATATATAATATTTTATCGCATGTTATACACAAAAAAGATATATATGTAAATATATATATATATATAATACTAAAATAATAATATATAATATATGAAAAGCAAACAACATATATAATATATCATGTAGTATATAATATAAAAATATTTAATATAATATAATCTATAATTTATATTAAATAATAAAATAAATAATCTATAATAAAATATAAAAAATATATAATGCAAAATAAAATATGCAATATATATAAGACATAATACTAATTCTATATAATAAAATAAATATATATCACATATTTACATATATGTACATAATATAATATATATCTATACATAAATTATAATAGAAACATATCCATGGCTTAGGTTTCCACAGAGCATCCCTCATTTTAAAACTTAAAACCATCTGAGCAGTTTTCAAATCCCTCTGTCATGCCCTTTATACTAGTTACTAGTTGGTTGATTTTCATTCCCATGCTGCGTCATAGTCAATCCCCATGACAAGGAGCAATGTTTGAGCAGCAGCAGGCATCAAGGCCCTTGTTGTTGCCCTTTCCGCAGCGCCAGCGAGCTGGGGTCCCGCGACGCCAATAACAATCGCAGGCTTCCGAATGGTAGCCCAAAGGACAACCATCTTTGGAGTTTGTGTCTTCCTTCATGCATTTTCCTGAGGAGACGTCAACCACAAAAAATGCATGTCTGTGCCAACGGGACTCTGGGACTCTTGTTTGGTAATGTATTGATTTGCGAAAACGGCAATTTGAAAGAACCCAGGAAAAGAATCGAAATGGTGTGCCAAAAATCTTCATGGTTGCGGATAGGTGAAAAGAAAGAGGATGTTCCGTTGCTGCATTGCATGTAAACACAGCTGTGTGCAAAAATCAAAAGCAAACAATCTAAGAATTCAAGCATTCGTAACATGTGTGTATATGCTGTATATGTGTCACGAATGCTCCTCCGATCTTTCGGGTCTAAATATCAATCCTTAAGGCCCCTTGCCCCTGTTTTGATGTCAGGGTTTTCAATTCTAAGGCATCAACAACACCCAAGTCTTTTGTTCTGATGCTCCATCATGTCGCAGTTGACAAGGGTATATCTCAGGGTTCTCCCATGGTTTCAAAAGAAAATTATGTTTTGACTTGCCAATTGTCCTTTTCGCTTGAAAGATCTGCAACAGATGTGATGGGTCAGAATTAAGCGAAAAACACATATTTTAGTGACTGTTTAGTAGTTTAGTAGCAACCAACTAATATCTGATTATTGGGTACCCAATTTTGGCCCATACCCATACTTCATTATCTCCTCGACCTTTTTTGATTTGACAAAACGCACCCGCCGAGATTTCCAAGGCGCCTTTGACGGCACAGCACGGAAGCCATTTAACATCCCCCTGACAAGTTTTCGAATGGTGCACACACAATAATACATATCATACATACATATATCACATATATAATGTATATGTATATGAATATATATATATATATATATACGTGCATAATCATTGACTTGGCAATTTGAATCCGGAGCTGCAAGAAAAACATTCACTTCGCTCCCCCCAGCACAGAAGTGGAACTTCTTCTCCATGCAATGTTGGCATAGTAAGAACATGGTCTGACTTCCGCGAATCACGCACAGTGGTAGTGACATATGTGCCATGGTTGAAACATGGGATTAATTGGTTTAGGTCATCCCAACATGAAATTGGGAATCCATATATATAATAATATATATCTAAAAACATATATACATATACATATACATATACATATACATATACATACATACATACATACATACATACATTACATTACATTACATTACATACATTACATACATTACATACATTACATACATTACATACATTACATACATACATACATACATACATACATGCATGCATGCATGCATGCATGCATACATACAAACATACACACATACATACATACATACATACATTAATTACATACATACATACATACATACAGACAAACATACATACACACATACATAACATACATAACATACATAACATACATAACATACATAACATACATACATACATACATACATACATACATACATACATACATACATCCATACATGCATACATCCATGCATGCATACATACATACATAACATACATAACATAACATTACATAACATTACATACCATAACATAACATAACATAACACAACACAACATAACATAACATTACATACGTACATACATACATACATACTTACATTACATACATTACATACATTACATACATTACATTACATTACATTACATTACATTACATTACATTACATTGCATTGCATTGCATTGCGTTACATTACATTACATTACATTACATTACATACATACATTACATACATATATATATATATATGAATAAACATATATGTATAGATATATATATTGGCCATCAAAATTCCATGAAAAATGGTGGTATGACCATCCCAATGTGGGTAGACACGCAAATTTTTGACGTAACGGATTTTCATTCACTGATGACATCTGACCCTCTTTTCAGCTGATGCAGCTGCTTTATGATTCTCCGGCATTGCTGAACATTCACTAGAGTAGCTCGATGCACACATTTAACACATAGATCCAAATAGCAAATTAGAATATATTATATACAATTATCTACATTCACATGCTCATTAAGTATCTGTTTTGATTGATGCAGCACTCTCATATATTCCCATGGTCACGATAGTCCCAACTGCAATCAGCAGTTCCAGGCGCAGCCTTCGCTTACTTGATTTCTTTGCATTTTCCCAAAGAAACTTGGAATTTGTTCCATGTGTTTTTCTTGCCAGAAGAAACAAATTTAGAGCATTCTATAAGGAATTGAAAACCATGTCATGCCAGAAAAAAACACTTAGAGCGTTCTATCTAAGGAATTGAAAAGTGTCATAGAAACCAGCTCAATGCCGGCGAAGGTCCCCCAACGTTGCAGTCAACTGTCATTCCCGCATGTAACTACGCCCCCCAACTGCTAGGAAAAGTCGCCCCAACCTTTTCGCCCATTGTAAACGCAGCACGAAAATGAAAAAGTACCAAAAAAAGTATCATCCGAAATGTGCAAAACACCATGAGAACGCAAATCACCCCAATGGTTTCAAACTATGGAAAATTATTAACAAAATGATATGTTTCAATAAAACACAATGTAAACGCATGATTCATGTATGTTTGGGTAAAATATCTCTTTTGTTGCAAAGCGCATCGAATTCTAATCTTCAAAGTATAACAAGTACATCTAAGAAATGTCATCTTCTGGTTCAAAACGCAATGTGAACGCATTATTCATGTATGTTTTGGTATGTTTTGGCAACAAATCTATGGGGTTCTGATTTACATCTCAACTCAATATTTCTGCAACGAGGCCAAAAACGATGCCAAAACGAGGCCCGAACGAGGCCAGAAAATAGCTTTGGAAACCCTCAGCTTTAGTAGCAGTTTACCACCAGCCCGGCAGCAAGTCTCTAGCAGGAGTCTAGAAGCAGTCTGGCAGCAGCTCAAGCAGCAGTTTGCACGCTGCCCGTGGTGATACCCCGCAGCCATTTAGCAGCAGCCCAGCATCAGCCCGACAACAGCCTAGCTGCAGGCCAGCATCTACTGTAATTAGATGAATCGACGCAACTACTCTAGAAAGGCACCCCCCGGCAGGGCAACATGTAAACACGTGACTGGATTTGCTCGAAGGTCACATGAACGAGCCAGGCATGGCAAAAAAACAAGTTCACCAGTGTAAACACAAGCTAAATGAAGCAATATTTACTTCTAAAGCATCGTTTTCTATCTTGCGCAACTGCTCCACAGCAACTAAACGCATGTTGGGGCGACTTTCCCGGGAAGTCCCCCCCAACTGAACGCAAGATTTTGGATCGGGCGGGGTGAGTTCCCCATAAACAAGTATAAATTAATCTATACAGGGTAAAAACATGTGGTAGGTTTTCCATGGCCAGCTTAGATTGCCAAAGGGGACTATCAACCACAAATTGACCAGCGACACAAAATAAAAAACACAAATATTGGGTGGTTTTCATGAAAAACTCGGTTCATGGGTTATCATCATCCCCAATTTTCTATGGGTAGTGCCAAGTCAACCCTAACCAGCCATCATCTATCAATAACATCTCTATATTTTTGATGGTTAAACCATCAAAACTGGCGGTAAAAGCATGTTTAATGCCCACATCCAGTTGGCACTCCCCGCCACAATAAAGTACGCCGAATCCGTGGACCGATGAGCACCCCCCCACAAGATCTGAATGCATCAAGCGGTTAGCGTTGAACCATCGAGGTTCACTGCCATCAAAAAACGATGAGTCTTACCACCCTTAGTTGCTAGATGTTACGGCTATTCTTTTCTGTCGGAGTTTGTGGCAAATATACTTAGCTTTCGAAATCCCCTTGAAGCAAAATTACTTTGCTGCCTCAACTCACTTGATAGAACTTTCACGAACTTTCCATATACAATTGCAAATTTATTTAAATTAGGCAATTTTTCTGCAATGCTTAGATAGCAAATTGAACTTATGTATGTGTCTTCCAGTAGGCAATTTGCAGCGATCCACACTGACACTGGTGTATGCGTTTTCAATTAGGCAATTCGATCGGCAACACTTACTGTTCAGAGTTCCCACAAGTATGTTTGGCCCTCAACTTTATTAGTAGACTACAATATGTCAATAGTCTGACGGGTGATTTTACCAATCAAATATCAACATTCAAACAATCTAATTTTGACATTCTCACACATATAGAGTATTCCATTCTATCTCCCTGATATTTCCATATTTATTTTCATGATACAAACAGTATCCCATGCATTATGAACAGTTTATTTAAGAACGGCTATCCCCATGATATTTAATAAGGATGGTAATGATGAACATCAACCAACACCAGGCTTCTTGAGAGTGCCCAAGTCTGCACCTCCGTCTCAGAGGAGTTGCTGTTGCTGAGCTGCTCCTCTCTAACAGTCTCCTTAGTAACAGGCATGATTGATTCATCTATGCCGCGCTTAAAGACTCCTTAGACTTTCCTCCGTTGGTTTGTCGTTTCCTGGGATTGTCTTTTCCTTTCTTTCTCCCTTGGAAACCTAACAAAACCAAAGGAACACAAAGAAAAACAAAGGAAACCAAAGGAAACCGAAGGAAAGCCATAGAATCCACCCAGCCACAAACCAAATGCAGAAATGCACATGGACATCTCGCAAGAGCCATTTTAATCCCTTCCCCCTATTACTAAACCATACTACCCCCCCCCCCAAATAATAAAAACTAGGGTCCGTCTCCAATTTTGGAAAATCTGAGGTTGGCCAATTTGACTTTTTTTCGAAAACAATTTAATATGGAGCTACCATTTATGGGTTTCAGCCCCTAATAATAAAAACTCGTCAGCCCCGGGTTGTTTTTTATTAGGGTCCGCCTTTTAAGGTCGAAAAAACAAATAAAATAAAGGTTTTTAATCCACTAATAGGGGAAAGCTTCGACATCCAATTTTTGCCAATATTTTAATTAGACTCTAAAAGGTAATCTAATCGATTTTGAAATAGAAAAAAAATGATTTATATGATTTATATTAGGGTTTTAAATTTAGTATCAGGGGGAAGCTTCGCACCCTAACAATAAATACAACCTAATAATAATAACTACCTGGGGTGTTTATTATTTGGGGAGGTTTAGTGTTACGGGGAACGGATTATGTGAGAATTTACAGGTAAAATGCCGCAGACCACAACTGCGACGAGCGTTTTGTGCGAGCCTGCGCAGTCGAAATGCACTTGGACATGTGACAAGAGCCATTTTATGCGGAAATTTAAAGGGCAAATGCCGCGCCCCAGAGTGAGCACCCTGATCAAGCACCGGCCTTAACTCCTACGGTAAGAATCCCTCCGTGTGGACACACTGTTTGGGGCACTTGTACTGATAGGGGGAAAAAAGAAAACGCATGAAAACCAGAGGTTTTCAAAGGAAAGGGCAGGGTGATCAGAGGAGAACATCGGATCATCGGTAGTCCTGCTGTGAAATATGCATGTTCCAGTGATGTTACTAAAGAGTTCCTATGATCCTCGGTTGCAGAAACCAGTAAGTAGGGCTAGTTATCCTGAGTTTGGGTAGGAGGTCCCCCCCTATTTGGCTTATGCATGTGTTTCTAATATGTACAGTACATACATTTTCATACAGTGTACTACATTACACGGGGCGTGGGGGTAAGCTAAACCCTACACCAATCTATTTACATTTTGCAACCTATTGCTGACCCTAACCTGTATAGTAGCCACGTACATCACGTACTAGCTGCTATCAAGATTTCCTATGCTATACATACGCGCTAGCCACATACTACGTATGCACTACCTACATGAACATGATATCTGCAGGGTTCACTACCTGTATGCCACACAATCTATACAACCTACTACTGCCCATACAGTACGTTTATAGTAGCCACGTACTAGCTAATTATATCAAAAAATTGTATGCTATACATACGTGCTAGCCACTACCTATACACTATCTCCATGATACCTCTATGACACCCCACACATCCCACAGGGGGGGTGCGTGGGGGTAAGCTACACCCTACATCAATCTAATCCTAAAACTCCCCCAGATAAAGAAATAGGATTGGTGTGGCACTTCCATTTTTTTTGTTGGGCACAATTGGATTCTTCATTGTGGCAATTGAGAATCAATAGGAGGACAGGATGGTGAAACGATGGGCTCAAACCCCCTATTAATAAAAATAGATTGCCACCTGGAGGTTTTTTTAAATTTGGGTCCCACCTCACATTTTTTTAATGTTTATCATTATATAAGGTTTTCATTGGAATATTAGGGGAAAGATTCGAAATCAATTTTTTTGGCAATATTTTATATAGATTTTAATAAGGGATTTAATCAAATTTGAGATTGAGTTTTTTATTATTATTATTGTTTTTCATTGGAATATTAGTGCGCCCTAATACAAAATACTCCCTAATTTACAACCTATTACTGCCCCTACAGTACCTTTGTAGATGCCATATACTGGCAACTGTCAAGATCTCATATACATCCGTGCTACACATGTGCTACCTATACACTATCTACATGGTACCTCTAAAACACCCCACCCGTCGCACAGAGAGGGCGTGGAGCATGCTAGCCCCACACTACTTACTTTTTGCTCTACATGCTAGTGACACACTACCTAGGCCCCACCATACATATTTATATATATTTGTTTATTTATTTATGTGTACGGATATGTATGTATGTATGTATGTATGTATGTATGTATGTATGTATGTATGTATGTATGTATGTATGTATGTATGTATGTTCCATGCAGATCCTAATTTGTAATGGCAATGAAAATGATGATTAACCAACATTCACGTAACATCACGGAATATCAGTGCGATTAAACAAAGTCGACCACCCAAATCAACACAATCAACCAGGCCGGACACTCGACATTACCGAGGGGTAACTTGATGTTTAGTATCTTGATGGTATGGTACACTCTGGTTGTTTAACAGTTTGCTATGGTATAGACGGCACATAACTAGTTCGATCATTTATGATGATTTCCTGTTCTTAATCACGATCCTAATCACGGTGATTTTCTGTAGCAACGTTGAAGACCCCAAAGGGTAACATATTTCTGCAGTCGACTGACTAATCGGCAACGGATCGGAACACATCAACGATAAAACATAAAGTCTTTGCAGCTATACTATTTCCTTGTTTTTCCATCTATCAAACTTCTAAACATTATCCCATCCGGTTTCCTCAGCAAACCATTAGTTTCCCCTAGCAACATATGAGCCTTTCTGTGACTCCAGACATTTGGACTGGGGGCCTCATCCTTGCTGCTTCATCTGAGGTTTTAAGGATGAACAGCAGAAAAAAAGGAAATGGTTATATTATATAACATCTTTTCTCAAACTGCCAAAACAGCTACTTGGAGGATCATCCTCCAAATCGAAACTGGTCCGCAAGCATTTTTTGGAGTATATATAAATAATATAATTTGCTTACTGCCCATTTATACAGACTAAATTAATCATTATATACCAGTAGTACCGCACAAGGCGGTGGCGGAAGTTTCAAAAATAGGAAACCTATAGGAGAGATTGGTTGTTGCGAATCACGGATGGCAGAGCGAATCCACTGATGGACCGAAAGGTGGTTGGAGCTGTGTTTTTTGGAGTGGCTGCAGTGGTCACCTGGTCGGTCACCTCACCCACAACTGCTGGATGTAGTGTGGTGTAGTGCAGCTGTGGGTAGTTGTAGTGTAGTGGAGTTGTAGTTGTGGTGTAGTGTAATTAGTGTAGTGTAGTTGCAGTTGCATCTGTGGTGGTGTAATGAGTGATGTGTAATGTAATGTAATGCAATGTGGGGTAGGGTAGTGTAGTGTAGTGTAATTGGGTGTAGTGTGGTGTGGTGTGGTGTAGTGTGGTGTAGCGTAGTGTAGTGTAGTTTAGCGTAATGCAATTGGTGTAGTGTAGTGTAATGCAATTAGTGTAGTGTAGTTGTAGCTGTATTTGTAGTGTAGTGCAGTGTAGTGTAATGTAACTAGTGTAGTGTAGTGTAGTGTAGTCTTATGTAGTTGTAGTTGTAGTTAGTGTGATGTAGTGTGATGTAGTGTAATGTAGTGTAATGTAGTGTAATGTAGTGTAATGTAGTGTAATGTAGTGTAGTGTAGTGTAATTTAGTGTAATGTAGTGTAATGTAGTGTAATGTAGTGTAATGTCATTAGCGTAGTGTAACGTAATGTAATGTAGTGTAGTTGCAGCTGCAGTTGCAGTTGTAGTTGTAACTGTAGGTGTGGTGCAGTGTCATTCAGTGTAGTGTAGTGGAGTGTAGTGTAGTGTAGTGTAATTAGTGTAGTGCAGTGTAGCGTAGTGTAAATGTAGTATTAATGTAGTTGCATTTGCAGTTGTAGTTGTAGTTAGTGTAGTGAACTGTAGTGTAGTGGAACGTAGTGTAGTGTAGTGTAGTGCAGTGTAATTGACTGTAGTGTAGTGGAGTGTAGTGGAGTTTAGTGGAATGTAGTGTAGTGTAGTGTAGTTGAGTGTAGTGTAGTGTAATTGAGTGTAGTGTAGCGTAGCGTAGTGTAATTGAGTGTAGCGTAGCGTAATTGAGTGTAGTGTCGTGGAGTATATTGTAGTGGAGTGTAGTGTAGTGTAATGGAATGTAGTGTAGTGGAATGTAGTGCAGTGTGGTGTAGTGTAGTGGAGTGTAGTGTAGTGGAATTTAGTGAAGGTGTAGTTGTAGTTGTAGTGTATTGGAGTTTAGTGTGGTGTAGTCGTGGTTGTAGTTGAGACTGCTACAAAACCTTCACGTTTTGCTCACTTTTGACAAGGTGCACAATCCCTTGCGCCTGCCATGCAAAACGACATCTGAATGTCCAAAAGTGGTCCGAACCCCTGGTGTTTTTAACATTTTGACTTCGAAATGTGCTTCGCGCCAGAACGGCGTGCACTTTTTCGACATCTCAACTTCCAAAGTGGTCCGGAGCTGGTGTGTTTTGTACATTTTGACTTTGAAATGTGCTTCGCGCCACAACGGCGTGCATTTTTTCGACATCTCAACTTCCAATAGTGGTCCGGAGCTGGTGTGTTTTGTACATTTTGACTTCGTGCAATTTTTCATCTCTCATCTGGCCAGATGGCTGGCTTTAGCGAGCCTACTTTTTGACCCTCCGGAGCCACAAATCATTGGAAAAACACAGTGTGTCGCAACTTTCCTACCTTTTCGCGCACCTGGATCTTCTTTCTTCTTACTCTTTCTCTTCTACTCTTCTTTCTTCTAATCTTTCTCTTCTCTCTGCCTCTTCCCATGTCTGCTTTTCATCTGTCCATATTGTCGGAAGTTTGACTTCTAAACTTCCTTCGATCATGGGATAAGCCACGCCATTTCGTCCCGCCGAGCGGCCACACGGAAGGCCGTCAGAGACACCAAGAAGCAGGAGCCGAGAAGCACCTTGAGGGCAAACATTTTTTCACCTCAAGAAGGCCAGTTGCAGTTGCGATGTGGGACTCACAAAGGCACCAAGGCGCAATAAAGATACTATTTGAGTTTATTTGAGGATGGTTTATCATTATTGTTTATACTACCGACAATACAATTGGTCATATTAGGGATGAATTATTATTGGTTTCACAACATTTGAGTAAAGATTCTATCCCTTTCCTTTGGGTGGGGAGGATTGATGCACCAATATTTTGCAAAAAACAAGACAATTTGAGCTTTGATGACACATGTAGGTCAGCCTACGTATACTGGCTTGGATATACCATACGCGAAAACACATACATGGAATGCATGATGAACAATCCGCTAACAAAAGGATACAAAAGGTGCAATGGAATGATCATATAAAGGCTGCTGCGAATCAATTTCTTTAGCCGAGTCAATTCTTGTTCAATGCACGGTAGGTCAAGATACAGGTTTCCCACTTTGTCTGATTGATTCATTGAATGATCACAAAGACATGAAAGGAATCATGTGGACAGCCCATAGTATTACTAGGATCCTGTTTTTGACAGCCATGGAATACCTTCCCCTCAACAATAAACACTCACGTAGGTGGGGAGCTTTCTTCGTCGGATGCAAGGAGTTACCACCCATTAGATCTTCGTACAATGGGCTAAACTAACATATACCAGTTTTGAGCATGATATATAGTCAATACTATCAATCTGAGCATGAAATACTGATATACCATCAGAATATTGAATAAACATGTTCGCTGCAACCCTGACGTTGCTCCGCGTCTGGCTTCAGGTGGCTATGAAGATAAAGTTGATGTTATTACCCCAATCAACATATTGTTTATAGGGGTGGCGAATTTTGATCCCTCATGGAGATATAGTTGATGTTATTACCCCAAACCAACATAGTGCCCATAGGCGGTGGCGAATTTTGATCCCTCATGAAGATAAAGTTGATGCTATTACCCGAACCAACATATTGTTCATAGGGGGTGGCGAATTTTCATCCCTCATGGAGATAAAGTTGATGTGATTACCCCAATCAACATAGTGCCCATAGGGGGTGGCACATTTTGATCCCTCATGGAGAGTTGATGTTTTTACCCCAATCAACATATTGTTCAGAGTGGGTGGCAAATTTTGACCCCTCATGAAGATACAGATGAGGATTATGATGATGGTGATGATGATGATGGTGATGATGATGATCATGATGATGATCATGACGATTGTAAGTGTGGAGCAACGTCCGGGTTGGGGCGAACATCTTTAAATATACGGATCTGCCATGATCTTCCAGTCTGAGAGTAGGGTACCCCTAGTGGCAGATCAACGTCGGTGGCACCAGGCCTGCGGGGTATCTCCAAAGAGATTTGGCAAACGGCGCGCGGCTGTAACTTGAGACGGCAAGCGGCTGTGACGGAGAGGTCTCACGCGGACTTTTTGCAGTTCATGGCCCAACAGTTGTAAATAGGAATGCAAACTACCATAACTAGTTGGTTATATATAACATATATCATGAAATAATCCCACATATAACTTTTACGGGCCATAGGTGTGACTTGAGATGTTTCGATTGCAGCGGAATTCATGACTCTGCGGTAGCCTTAAAAACTCAAGGGCGGCACTTAGACGCCGTGAGCACATACGAGTATGTCTGAAAATAGGCCCCGAAATCCGATGCTTCATAATAATTTACAGCATTAAATTGCCATTTTAAGGTCATATCTTGAATCATATCCCAATTTTCAGACAAACCCATCATTGATTCATTGTGTAAAACCAAGACTCTCATGAACTCTTCTCATGTCTGCCCGTAGCACGCAGCGCAGGCATATCTTTTTGGCCGCCGACGCAGACACGAAACCTCAGGCTCCAATGGTTCCAATGGATCAAGGCAAAAATTGCCCGAAATGCTGAGCGATACGAACATTACGAAAGAAATTTAAAAGGCGAGTCATCCCATAAAATATTACTAATAGTAATTTAAATTACTAAAATATTGTATTTCGATTGCATCACAAATAGAAGTCTGTATATCACTAATGTGATGCACTTGAAATACAATATTTTATGGGAACCTCATATCCTAAAGTGGCTAGTGCTTCAGCTACTAATCCAAAAAGTGAAGATTTGAAATAGTATCATGGTCACTTTGGAATATCATCCAAATTTGAGGGATGAATGTCTCATAGAGAACATGATGGTAAACCAAAGATCCCCATAGTATGGGTGTGTCAAATAAGGAAACCCTCAAATCCAATGGTTTATCATCTTGCTCCCCATAGAACCATAATATTTTAGTGGCTTATCCTCCATTTTCAGATGATACATCATACTGTTGGTCGCATATCCCAGGAGGTTTGGCCATACACCCCAATTTCTGCCGGTTAAACCTCCTAGATACACAATTCTTGGTGACAATAACCCACTACTTGATGGCCCATCCCAGCTAGTAAGTGGGACCCCAGTTGTTGACAAACCCTACACTGGGTTTGCACTCCATTATATGAATATATAATATCATGAACTGTCATTAACCATCATTAAATATAATTCAAGTCAGTTTCATTGAATATCATGAAATCAGGAACCCATTCAATATCATTGCCAGTAGTACCGCACAAGGCGGTGGCCGAAGTTTCAAAAAACTGAAACCTATAGGAGAGGTTGGTTGTTGTGAATCACGGATGGCAGAGCGAACCCACTGATGGACCGACAGGTGGTTGGACTCGGAGTTGTGTTTTTTGGAATGGTTGCAATGGTTGCAATGGTTGCAATGGTTGCAGTGGTCACCTTACCACAACTGCTGGCTGTAGGGTGGTGTAGTGCAGTTGTCGTTGTAGCTGCAGTTGTAGCTGTAGTTGTAGTGTAATGGAGCTGTAATGTAGCGTAATTACTGTATTTGCAGGCGCAGTTGCAGTTGTAGTCGTGGTGTGGTGTCGTAATGCAGCGTAATGTCGTGTAGTGTTGTCTAGTGTAGTGTAGTCTAGTGTAAGGTAGTGTAGTTGTAGTTGCAGTGTAAATAGTGTAGTGTAGTGTAGTTGTAGTTATAGTTGCAGCATAATTAGTGTAGTGTAGTGTAGCGTAATTTAGTGTAGTGTAGTATGTGTAGTGTAGTGTAGTGTAGCGCAGCGCAGTGCAGTGCAGTGCAGTGTAGTGTATTGTAGTGGTAGTTGTAGTTGCAGTTGCAGCTGTAGTTGTAGTGTAATGCAATGTAATCAGTGTAGCGTAGTGTTGTGTAATGTAGTGTGGTTGTAGTTGTAGTTGTGTTTGTATTTGTAGCGTGCTGCAGTGTAATTAGTGTAGTGTAGTGTGGTTGTAGTTGTTGTAGTAGTTGTCGTAGTTGTTAGTGTAATTTGTGTAGTGTAGTGTAATTAGATGTAATTAGTGTAGTGTAATGTAGCGTAGTATATTTGTATTTGTAGTTGTAGCAGTAGTGTAGTGTAGTGGTAGTTGTTGTTGTATTTGTTGTAGTTGTTGTAGTTGTAATTGTCTATCTATCTATCTATCTACCTATCTACCTATCTACCTATCTACCTATCTACCTATCTACCTATCCACCTATCTACCTATCTACCTATCTACCTATCTACCTATCTACCTATCTACCTACCTATCTACCTATCTACCTATCTACCTATCTATCTATCTACCTATTTATCTATCTATCTGTTTGTCTGCCTGTCAGTCCGGCTGTCGTCTACCTGCAAGCTTGAAAACGCAGCAATTCTGCGAGACTTCCTCAGTTTTTGAACTCAACGTCAAAAACGAAACAATTCTGCGAGACTTCCTCAATTTTTGAACTTGACAACATCAAAAACGAAATAATGCTGCGAGACTTCCTCAATTGTCGAAGTTGACAGCATCAAAAACGAGACAATTCTGCGAGACTTCCTTCAAAAATGGAAAGTTGAGTGCAGAGCTGACGGCCTCGTACCAAGCGTTTTGCGATTTTTCCGCTCCATCTGTCTAAAGTACTGCGCCTAGCACAAGAAAGTGATGCCAGGTCATACGAAGTGCTGCACCTGTCACGCAAAATCATCTCAGCAAACCTGAAGATCTGATGCTCCAAAATGCAACCTCTCTCAGGAAATCAGCGCCCTGACCTCCTAACATCTCTGATCAACATGTCTCTTGTACTGCGCCTGCCACGCGAAATCCATGTTTGCAGATCCTCGTCAAATGTCCCACGCCTGCCATCGTTTTAGGAATGCTACAAAACCCTCACGTTTTGCTCACTTTTGACAAGGTGCACAATCCCTTGCGCCTGCCACGCGAAAGCGCATCTGAACGTCCAAAAGTGCTCCGTACCCCACAGTTTTTTCCACTTTTGACTTCGAAATGTGCTTCGCGCCACAACGGCGCAATTTTTCGACATCTCAACTTCCAAAAGTGCTCTGAACCCAAAAGTTTTTTACACTTTTGACTTCGACATGTGCTTCGCGCCACAACGGCGTGCACCTTTTTGACATCGCAACTTCCAAAAGTGGTCCGGACCTGGTGTGTTTTGTACATTTTGACTTCGAAATGTGCTTCGCGCCACAACGGAGTGCAATTTTTCATCTCTCATCTGCCCAGCGGGCTCCGCACCCGCCGCTTTAGCGGGCTCCACACCTGGATCTTCTTTCTTCTGAGACTTTCTCTTTTTTGATCTTCTTTCTTCTTCCCTTCTCTTCGCTGACTCTTCCCATCTCTGCTTTTCATCTGTCCATATTGTCGGAAGTTTGACTTCTAAACTTCTTTCGATTATATAAATATTGCTCAATATCAGGAACCTCGCAAGCCCAGCAAAGACAACCCCTTCCCGCGCTGCTGGGCGCACCAGTTAAGCGCATGGAGCTCACTGAAGGACCCGGCTGCGAGGAGACCACAGGCATTAAGGACCTGGCGCCCAGTGATGATGGGAACTGCGGGGGAAGACCTAGACCTCAGAAATGGATAGAACTGGGGTTAGGGGACCTCAAAATCATCCAAAATCAGAGGGCTCAGATTGGAGATTTCTTGAAATGTGGATCCAACATCATTCCAATTTCTTTGTTTCTGATAGGGAAAGCAACGGGTTTTGGCCCAAAATTGGTAATGTCAATCCCGGATTGTAAAACTCGCTGGTCCATGAATTTGGGGGCCTCCCCGATATAGCGATTGTTCGCTGCTAACCCCATTGAACATGATTATATATATCTGGGTAAATTTTAATATTTCACTAACCTGAATAGTTCGGCTATTTGGGGATGATTCCCCTTACTAACACTATGATATATATACATATATACCACACAACCCAAGGTTTCTTTGTCCCCTTGAGGACTCTACCCATTTTCTCGCCATGGGTTCCCATCGATCTCCAGCCATAAGGAGGTCAACTCCCAGAAATGGCATCAAGAGTGCTCCCCAAACGCCAAATACATAGTAATTACTATAAGTATATATAAGTATAGCAATGTCTATAATACATAGTAACACTATCTTATTTTCTAAAATTGCACCTGTTGTCGAGCTTACTTTCTTATTAGGGACCTGTCCAATTTGCAACCAGGTGGCACTGCACAACTTGCAGCATCCGCGGTCGACAGGGATGCCTGACACACAGCTTGCAGCTGCAGTGCGATTGTTTGGTCCTCTGGAAAGCCGGGTTGGGTCAAGATTCCTCCAACAGCAAGGTATAGTGATGCATGGGAGTGAACAAGCGCGGGTTGTGGTGGACGTGTCACATCCGCATGATTGATCTTTACAAAAGCTGCGTGTTGCCTGAGTCACCATAGTTTATGACAATTTGCTTGTGGCGCAACCATGATTTTCAGACTCTTCCGAAACAAAATGTTGGGTACGGTAGCATATCGGTATTATATCACATGTACATGTACATGCAGTTGTATGAATAAGTACTAGATATGTTATCAAGTGCCTCAGACATTCATGTATGATAATTACATAGTATCTGTACTTACATAATCACAATATTTACTATCACATGGTAATACATGTCTGTCTTACAATATACTTTTATAATCTTATATATATACACGTATATTATATACAGTACACATGCAGAACTATATAGACACATGTATTAAGACATTACATATGAAATATACAATGTTGGTAAAACAATAAGAAACCATCCATATGTTGATGGTTTATACCACCCATCAAAATGGGAGTGATTACTATGGTTTTACCAGCATTGTACATATTCAATCATATTCAGAATATGCATATTATACACGCGTTAAATGCGATGACGTATAACCATTGATAAGGCCTGCAGCGCATTGTGAAGCTCCGGCTCCCCAAAGAAGGTGCTGGGAGAAAACCTGGAGACGACTTGGCGTTTCAAGGACCGAAAGGTGGATTTAACCATGGTATACTTGTGGTGTAAACCAGTCATTTATGGTTAAATCATGTTAAATCCAGTTATATATGGGATGCAACTCATTTATCTAACATGTAACTCAGGGTTAACCTGGGCAATGATGGTATAACCAGCTATTACTTAGGTAAAACCCTGGTTTTATCATGGTATGACTATAACATGATATAACTCAGGTATGTAACCCAATGATTTATCAGCGGGCATGTACTGCATAGGAAGCAAAAACACTTGCTATGTCCAATTGTAGACACCATTGCGCAAGCCCGGCGATTTAGGTAATCTACTCCAGAAGTATTTAATCGGCAGAAATGGCAACATTCAGCGTGTTTCAGCAGCAAACATGGATTTAACATCATTGGATTTCACCAGCAACCTCGGGCTGGTGGTTTCAACCCTCCTTCAAACATGTTCG